GGGCAACAAAAGCGAGACTCTGTCTCAAAAAAAAAAAAAACAACCATAGAATGTACAACACCAAGAGTGAACCTTAATATAAACTATCGATTTTGGGTGACAACGATGTGTCAATGTGGGCTCACTGCACGTCTCACTCTGTTGTAAAATGCTAACGGTTGGGGAAGGTGAAGGGGAGGAATTTGGGCACTCTATACTTTCCACTCAACTTTGCTGTGAACCAAAAACTGCTCTAAAAAATAAAGTCCACTGAATGAATGGATGAACCACGTGCAGACATGCAAGAAACATGGATAGGTGTATCTAACCTTTCTTTCAATACGTCTCACTACTGTCACTTATACATTATTTGTTTTCCAACCAAGAATAATATTCGTCGAGAAGGTAAAATACACAACATCACTGAAAATTTGTGCCCATGTAAAGATCAAGTATTCATTCCCATTTAACAAATTTCAACAACTACCTTTTAGAGCAATTTATAGTGCTAGTGACATAAGCCATCCCCATCTCTACCCCCACCAAAAAAGCATGGGGGAAAAGCTGATAACATGGAAGCAAAGAGATGGGTAGATAAAGAATTTGTTATATTTCTCTCTACTTTTATGTATATTTTGAAATTTTTTCATAATTAATACATTTTTAAAAATAAAGAATCAATAATATTCATTTCTTTAAAGTGGAATGAATTTAATGAGAGCCTATTAAGTATGAGACACAGTTCCAGGCATCGAGGATACAGCAAGAAGTGCAACATCTAAAGTTCCTGCCTCATGGAGTTTACATCCTAGTAAGTGGGCACCAGAAGACAAACTTTCCTGGGACTTGAGAACACTGAAGCAAAGAAAGGACAATGTAAGCCTAGAATTTTCTTATTATTTTCTGTATAAGCTGGGCATTTGAAAAGAATGTAACCCAAACTCCTTGTATAACCTGCCTTCTATTTTTAAGGAGAAAACTAAAACAAAAAACAAGAATAGGTAATGGGCATATTATTCAGAGAAAACTACCACATCACTCAAACATCACTGGTATGAACACTATATTCTATCACTGCCACCTAAGTGACTACGCCACCAGGACACTGAAATACTAGCTTTACTTCCCACTCTATCTTGTCCAAAACAAGGAAGGTAAAGAGATCAACTTGGTAAGCACCAAGGAGGGAAGAGCCAGAACTGGGAGACAAGGCCTTTGGTCGATACTGGATTCAACTAGCATCTGAATAGGAAGTCATCATTTATTTTCAAGAAAATGGGCATGCCAGATGTGTGACTGTTTAAGCAAAAACAAGTAGCAGTGTATGTCATACGTGGAAATTACACGAAGTTTTACCAAATCAGAATTGAAATTAACTTTTGAAAATGGGACAGGATGCTCAAAAAATTACTTCCTGATTGTCACACATTAATGCTTCTGTATCTCTGCTATTCTTGTGACCCAATAAATTGTGATGGGAAATGGAGAGGATTTCCTTTGTTGACAAAAATGCACAGATACTGTTACTACCTGAAAGTGTTTAGATTAAAATAGGAAGCCCACATTTCCCCTTTGTAAAGTCACAAACAACCTGTCTGGGCTACAAAAGAGTATGCATGAGCCACCTGACATTTGTGCCTTACTTCCCGTTTCAGTCATGAATACAACTCTTCCACTGACCTGCTGGGTTCTGCCCATAAATGCCTCACATTTTTTCCATAAAATTAGGTCTTTTATCTTCTCTAAGATGTCTTAACCTTCTAGATCTTTCTTACAGGCTTTATCATTAAAATACCTTTCTTGGAGACTAAAATTAGGCATATACCCCATTTGCGTTACTATGAATGAATCAAGACGTCTAAAAAATATTTATCTTTGAACTCAAATTTGAACTCAAAGTAAATCATGTTTTTCATTCAAACTTGTCTCTTACTTCCTTTTGGCAGCTCTGAAAGGTGAGTGCTTCACTTCCTCACACAGTCTGATAGTTCTTCCCACACTCAATAAGGAAAAATTTCTTCTTCAGCCCAACACCCCATCATTTCTGTACCTCACATTAGGTACCTTTCTTTCAAGAGCTTATTCTTTTCCTAGATCCTAAAAACATGCCTTCTCTAGATGGTGCCTGAAAACACAATTCCTAAACTCTTTTCTGAGTTTTCTCCAACTCATTACCACTAGCAATATTTCTGATGGACACACTAGAAGCCCTAAGAGAGCCCCCTCATTGTACCTCCTTGTATTTCTCTCCCCGTTCACGTGTGGAACCACTTCCAACATTCTAAACGTTTATTCCTCTTAGAGTTGACCAAAACCCGCAGAACTTTTTTTTAGAAATGCTGCTGCTAATCTATCTCATCCATTCTGAACTTACTATATTTTAAAACCTTTCCCTTCTCCTACTCCGTCCATTGCATTTAATATTTCTGAAGTCGGATTTCATTGGTTTAACCTCTTACATAGAGATCAAGTCTAAAGTCAGGCAGATAGGACTAAATAGAATATAATCAAAATTAAACTTAAAAAGCCCTTCAGAATATTTTCCTCTGGTGTCCGAACAGGACCAGATACAGTGGATGGCTGGCATCCAGTGGCTGCATCGTTACCAAAAATCCCGTATCTTAAACTACCAGAATCATACTCAGTGTGGCATCTCTATGAGCGGTATTCAGACACAACAGATTTAAGCAGCCTTTTTCAAACAGCATTCCTCATTTCAACCACAGAACACAAAAAATAATCAACTATTTTCTCAGTCTTCCAACAATGATACACAACTAACACCATCCTAAATGCATAGGAGAGAAGGTAATTGATCACATACAGTGGATGCTTTACGGAATCAGGGATGAGTTCTTTCGGTTGAGAAAGGCTCTTTCATCTCAAGTGTAGTCTAGGGAATGTGCCCACGGAATGGAACGGATGGCCACGTAATTCAAACCGCTCAAGAGCACCAGCATGCACTCTTGCTCTCCCATCCCCACACACACCTCCCTCTCTCCTGCCCACTTGGTCTTCAGCCCCCAACATCTTAAAGGGCTTTTATTGAAATTTATGTAAGGTAAATGAGCTTCTTACAGAATTTCACTACAAATCCAATCAACAGCTGCTAAAATATTAGTAAATGCAAAGGAAATGTAACAAAAATGTTGGCAAGAATGTTTCTGGTGAGACTGTGTTGGTTTTTTCACATTTTTTCTTACACATTTAAAAAAATAACTATATATTACCTTTATATTCATAGAGAAAATCTACTTCTTAATAATTTCTAAGAGTTTATAATAACACGGGGAAATATTAAGTGGAAAAAAAGCAACGAATAAGACCATATTGACAATATTTCTGATTAAATGTTGGGGAAAAAAAGCAAAATGTTTGTCTTTAAGTAGTGGAGAAGTGTTTGAGTTTTCTTCTGCTTGTCTTTATTTCCTGTATTTTCTATAAAGAGTGCTCTTTGATGATATAATTTGGGGAAATGGACTTCACTTTTAAAAATCAGATTTCTTATTTTGGCAACCAGATGTTATCACTGCTTTCTGTTTCAACAGTTAAGAGCAAAACCAACGGCATCAATAGTTCTGTCTCAACCTGTATTTTATATGATCTACTAACAGACTGAACAATCCCAAATCATATTTCTGAAATCATTTTCCTTGCTCACATTTAGGATTTTGTCACAACGTTTCAGTGTATCTTTATTTTGCTAAACATGATATTCCTTCTAAAAGCTACATAACACTAAAAGCCCAAACTTTATCAACCACACCATATATCCATGTAACACAACTTCACCTGTACCACCTAAATCTACTGAAATGAAAGAAAAACAAGCTACATAAATGTCCATACCCACATAATGCCATAATTTTTAGCCAAATATTCTGCCATTGGACCCCTTAAATTCTGCTCATTTCAAGAAATAGGCTGAACATGAGAAATGACTGAATAAGTATGTCCATTCCATACAACTACCTTACAATATCATTCCTCTTTTGTTGTTCAAGAAACTAGGGCTCAGAGAGAATAAAAACTCACATTCAAGGTAACAAAATTTGTAAGTGGCAAAGCTACTATTCAAACTCAAGTCCAACAAATTTCAAAGTCTAAATTCTTTCTACTATGCAATGTGGAATGAAGAAATGCCTTCTAGAATCAGCTTTGCCACTAACTTGTCATTTGCCCTTGAACAATAATTGGATTCCTCAGCTATAAATTAAAGGCTGGACTAGATGACCTCAAAGATCCCTTCCAGCTCTAATGGCCTATGCTCCAAAGCTTCCCCCTTCCTTTAAAGCACACTGAAAAATCCTTTAGTGAGGACAAGATTTTAGCAACTACTGTCCTGTTTATGTTCTGTCTTGAACATCCTTTGTATGCTGGTAAATTACCAGGGGATAGTTTTCTTTGCATCTGGCACTATCTTCCCAAACCAAGAGAATATATTGCTGCCAGAACTATAAAATAGCAATTTCTAACAAAATTATTTGTCACTATGTCTAATGGCTTTCCCCTTAAATGTGCATTTTAGATGAAAATGTGATCAATCATTTTTAAAATTCTACAGGGACAGTAATATTATATATTCAGGGCCATTTCAACATATGCTAGGGGGTCAAAGAGATCTCTCATATGGGGAATTCTCCAGAATATCAAATTAGTAAACATAAATGAGCCTCTAGTGTTGGTTTTGAATTGAAATAGATCAACTGGACCAATCCCGGTCCACATTCAAACCCAAATCTTAGGGAGAAGCATGTATAGCATTTCCAGCAACTCTAGTTAAAAGCACAGCTACACATAGGAAGAAAAATAAAAGGCATTACTTCCAATCTTTAAAACAGGTAAGTCCATTGTACCCTATTTACAAAGCCAACTTTTGCACAAATCCCAAAAAGCTACAAAAAAGCTAAATGCCCCTGTACTCATATTCTCCTTTCAAGTTTAATTAATCTATCCTCGTAAAAGAATCACTATTAAATCTTCTGGACAAGGCATTACTTTCAGAAATCTGTCAGTACACCCAGACACAATGATTGCATCACACCAAGATTTTTCAGATCTGGCTGATTAGAAGGCACTGTCAGAGCCAAGGAACTGATGCTAATACTACTGTATAAAAATTATATTCTGGTAGTTATGAACCATGTTCTCTGCTTTTGCATTTCAATAGTGACAACAAAAAAAGGGCAAATGCAAAATTCCAATTTGGTATAAGGACACTTAAAAGGCAATGAAAACCAGCCATTGTCAAAGTACATAAGCACTGACTGGGTGCAGTGGCTCACACCTGTAATCTTAACACTTTGGGAGGCTGAGGGGGGAAGATTGCTTGAGGCCAAGAGTTTGAGACCAGCCTGGGCAACATAGTGATACCCCCATCTCCACAAAAATTAAAAAATTAGCCAGGCATGGTGGCATGCACTTGTAGTGTTAGCTACCAGGGAGGCAGAAGCAGGAGGATCCCTTGAGCCCAGGAGTTTGAAACCACAGTGAACTATGATCATACTACTGTACTCCACCCTGGGCAAGAAAGAATGATCCTGTACCCCCACACCTCAAAAAAGTATACAACCATTTCTAAGAGTCCCCAAATTACAGTAATCAGGATACTCACACATATCTGCTCATAAGTTTTCAACATCTACTAAGTGGGTGCCTATAGTGTGATGGGCACTGTTTTTAGGTAGGGAGATGTAACAGGGAAAAAGAAAAAACAATGTCCCTGTGTCCATGCCTTACATTACGATGGGGAAAGATTCACATAAAGAAGTAAATAAATAAATGTAGGGAAAATATTTTAGGGCTTGCAGGCCATATGGTGTCTCACTGCTACTCAATTCTGCCATTATAGTCAGAAAGCTGCCATAGACAATACATAAATGAATGGGCACACTGTGTTCAAATAAAATTTTATTTACAAAAACAGGCAGGTAGTGTTTAGTTTGCCAAACCCCTGGTCTACAGCACACCCTTCAAGATTATCTGATTTTGATTTTATGGAATCTACTTTACAACTCTGCAATTTGTAGGTAACTGAAAGCAATGCAAAATAATTGCCTGTTGACGTACAAATGAATTTTGTCTGGTGGACAGTTAAATCTTCATACCTTTGGAAAAGCCCATTTTGTATCCATTTGTACACCCTCAATTCAACACAATTTCATTCCATGTACATTTATGCTTTTTTAGACTTCTCCTTTGATCTGGTTATATATAACACATACCTGGTTCCCTCATTTAATTAATGGGTTAAATTAAAATGTTTAACATGTATTCATTTTATATCTATATGAAAGTCAAGATTTCGCCGTTTTTGGAAAATTATCCTTTAACAGTTTTGGGGGTCTCACTAAGATGTCCAATGGATTCACATGCAGAGCCACGAAAACTTCCTCACCAGAGTGCACTGCACTGGGGATGCTCAAATCCAGGCAGTTTCCTTGGCTGCCAGGGGTGAATCCAAGGGGCACTAGAATTTGGCTGTCTCTGTTTAATTTTAAATTTCCTCTAATAATTTTGTGTTTTGGTTAACATACAGCTGATAAGTTATTCCCCATTTATGGAAGCAATGGCTGGGGATTTGGTTTTATGGTCTGACCATTTGGTGATCTCTGTAAATGGATTAATGGTTTGTAGAGTCCATTCTCTGTTGGGTGAGAGAAAACAGAGAATCCAGTTCTTTAGTCTTTTTCTGCTTGTCCATCACGTACGACCTTCTAAGCTAGGAGAAGATGTGCTACTAGACATGTAAGGAGAGAAGCCATGTAGACTGATGGATACACAACTCTGTAGCTCAGAGGGAAGGCAAGAGAGAGAAAACTGGATGTCATCAAGACACAGCTGTCTATGAAACTGAGGCATAAATGATCTCTCTAGGGAGAGAATATAGACAGGGAAGAGACAAGGACTAAGCCCCAGGGCTCACTAACATGGGGTTGGGGGAGCCAAGCCCCAATCCATCGGACACACCATCAGAAGGAGTCAGCGAAGACTGAGAAAGGCCAACTAGACGACAGGAGGAAAACCAGGAAGTTGTGTGTTCTAGAAGCTGGGCACAGCGTTTTGAGGAGGCCTGATCAACTGTGTTTCTAAATGCTACTGGGACATAAAGCAGAGTGATCTGTATATGAAATGTATGTTAAAGGAGAAAGGGAGCCTATTTGTACAAATGACTGTCCAGGAAAGGCAGTACAGGTTGAGTATCCCTTTTCCAAAATGCTTGAGACCAGAAGTGTTTTGGATTTTAGAATATTTGCATAAATATAATGAGAATCTTGGGGATGAGACCCAAATCTAAACATGAAATTCATTTATGTTTCCTATATACCTTATACACATAGCCTGAAGGTAATTTTATACCTTTAAAATTTTTATATTTTTTATTAGTGATCTCACTGTTTAAAATGGCCCCCAAGCATGATGTTGAGATGCTGTCTAGTGTTCCTAAGCACAAAAAGGCTGTGTGACGTGCCTTATAGAGAAAACACGTGTGTTAGGTAAGCTTGAGTTATAGCGCTGTAGGCTGTGAGTTCAGT